GAGGCGCATATTAGCGCCTGCAAGACTGTCGAAATACTTCACGCGTTGCGCCAAATACAGTGCGGTCGACGTGAAACACATATTAGCGCTTACAAGGCGGCAGAAAAACTTGACATATTGCGCGTGGTAGTTGATAAATCGGGCCGATTGCTATGATTAGTTACGATCCGTTGTCGTTCGTGAAGCATGTATTCCACTTAGTTTTTTCATAAATTCACTTATTTGTGCGGGAGAACACTCATTTATGAACATGCTTGACCATCTTGGTTTAACATTGAAATCTGAAAATGGCAGAGACGTTTTTATGAGTTAGAAGGTTGGCTCCCTTTTTGGGCTCAAGAGCTTCAGATTTTAGCCTGTGTCACTTTCTCAAAGCTAGCCATCAAAATATCAACATCAGGTGTAGTGATTGGCTTCTTCGATGACTTGGACCAATCACAGCACTTGACCTTGACATTTTGATGGAGTGTACTTTGATAGTGTGAAACAGGATTTTGACAGGTCCATACCCTCCCAATATAGATACTCTAATCACAACGTGCTGGTATTGTACGTCACTTTGCAGAGCAAAATTATCTCCAAAAGGAATTTCGAAGAAAAAAAAGACGAAAATGCAATGTTGTTGCAATAATGTCATATTTTAGACAGGGGCGCACTTGGAATCGGGATAAACGAAGGGCTCCCGAAAGTAAAATTGAGTCCCTTGATACTGAGAGTTAAGACAATGTAAATACATTATTTCTGATTCGTTCCCGTGTTTTAGGCCCTCACAGTGACATAGACGGGAGATTAGATTTTCATCGATTGCAAAGATTATAATCTGGAATGGACCGGGGAATAACGGGTTTGGTAAGGAACAAGAGTAATGAGAGAAGGAACGGAGAAAGGAATTTGAGAATGAGCCGATCAAAGATCTCGAAAAGCTATCGATTTGTGTAATCTTTATTCCCGTTTGTGACTCCATGAAGGGGGTTTGTCTTAACTCTCAGTATAAAGGGACTCTGAGTAAAACACTCGCAAAAACTTTTCAAGTCTCGGCGAAAATTCAAAGTCATTCAGCTGTTATATCCCGGAGGTCGGAGCTATTTTGTACCCTGAACACAGATGTAGAAGTTTTAATGTCTTTTTCTCTGAATCCCGTTTTTGAGCTGCAAACTTCAAACCGCCATAGCTCCGCTTTCCCGTGACATTTCCCGGTTTTATTTGTGCCCGAGTATTCGTTCAACAACCCTCCGAGAAGAGAGACCAATAAATCCGACAAGTTTATGTACAACACACTTTGATGCACCGGTAGCAATTTCGAGCTTTTGTGGGCTGTTAGTCCCTTTTACCGTGAAGCTCACATACGTTGCAACTTTTTCATCATAAAAACGGACCACTAAACGGGATACGGAATCAAACACCTCAATCAGTGGTGACTTGTGTAGGTAGGCTACACTGTCAATACTCCATTTAAAACCATTGAATATATCGATTCTAGGTAAGACAGGCTGCCTCACCGAGAATCGATTGTTTAACACATTTAAATGGAGAAAAACAGTGCTGCCAACCTGCAAAAATCATCGCTGACCTTAGCATGGCTCCCTGTCGATATTTCACATAAAATACGTTAGACGCATCGACAATTTCCCAATTCACTTGATAAGGGAGCAACACACGTTTTTTGCGTGCGCCAAGTCCCATTTCCCGTTCACCAAAAATTACAGCCTACGCGCGAGTCTATCAAGCACTAGACATTTTTTGGTATACTTTCCGATGGAAAAAAATTCTTACGTGCTGAATTTGTTTGTGGCAAGATTAGAGGTGCTTTGTGTTAAAAGAGGAGTTAAATATGTGTGTGAAACAATGCTCCAGTTATTTCCCTACCGTATTGCCCAAGTAGCATTTTGCAACGAAAAAATTGCAATTTAAATGAAATAAAATTTCCAGATGATTTCAACTTTCTTGCAAGAAAATTGCAATTATTTTACAACATCTGACCCCCTCATTGTAAAAAAGTTGCAATTTTTTTTTTTTGCAAAGAAATTTCAATATTGACGACCTTTAAATTTCAACCCCTAAATTTTCCGGGGAAATTATAATAATTCGAACCCATGCTTACCTAATGTCCTACGACGTTTAGCAGCATAAAATACCGAACGCCCTTGAGTGGGCTTGAACCCGACCCGCGAATGTCATAGCGGAGCACTCTTCCACTGAGCTACAGGGAGCTGATGACGAGCTGGGTTGAAATCACGCCTGTTAAGGCTGTTATCGCATGCATTGCGTCAGTGCGTGGCTCAACATTCATCATAGATTTGATTAACGCCGTTTTTCTCAGGCTTCTTTCTTTTGCCTATTATTTATTTTTTTTTCGTGTTATTTATTTTTTTCATATTTTTTTTGTCTGATTTTTTTTTTCGATATCACGTAATAGGTACTCACACTAAATTTTAACCGGTGTAAATTACACCACATACTAACTTGAGAACTTAAAAATATTTTCAAAAAATATTTTTAAAATATTTTCAAAACTTTCTTAAGGAATATTTTTAACATGCATGTTTACAGGCAA